CTACCCGATCGAATGGATAACTCATATAATCGGTTCTATATCTGCCACTATTACAATGGTGGATTTGGGATATAGAAAATTCAAATGGGATAAAAGTCATGTCCCGAAATGGATAGCCCCGGAAAATCAAACCGACACTAGATTGAAAACCAAAGTGAAACGAGCCAAACTTTTATTAAGACCGAATCAACACAATAAAGAATTATAACAATTATCCATTGTGTATTTATGTATTTAGATTAGTATACTATAAGAATATTTTTATCATGATATGTACTCTACTATATATATTTAATCACATTTACAAATATTTATACATTTCATTATTATAAAACATATATTGTTTTCTGTTTGTTATGTCCAACAAATTCATATAAATCTAAAATTTCTCTGATTTATCGTATATTCTATCATTTACATGAATAATGAAGATTAATTTTATATTTAAAAAATATTAAAATAAATAATATTTGCATATGTTTTATCAATTTACAAATAAAAATATTAAAACTGATAACATTAACATATGTTTGATCAAAAATATTCAATTTTATTATATTTATGCATAATATTATTATTTTTGTGGGTTAAAATCTAGTTGCATGCTAAACAAAAAAAAAAAAACTGAAACATCGGATTTTGATCATAACCAAATTAATTAACCATGTGAGATTTTTAAGAAGAAAAAACTTTTCTAGAATTTACCTCCACCGAGATGACGTCGAAGGTTGCCATGCCATGGAGACATCGTGGTGGTCAATGGCTCGAATCGGATCAGCGATGGTTCGTCCAGAAAAGACTTGGTCGTGTGTTTTAAGCACCTCTCTTGCTGCCTCAGGAGAGGAACAAACGACCGTGGTTAAATTTCCAAGCCTAAGACTCATGACTGGTCCATAAATTCCTGAGAAGTCGGCAAATGAACGGTGTGGAGATTTTCCGATTTGGAGAAGGTTTCCGATGATAGGCCATCCCGGAGGTCCCGGAGGAAGTACGGTGGATCTCCGTCGGGAACTCACGGCGGCGAGGAGAAGGAATGATAATAGGAAGCAAAAGATGAGGAACAGAGCTGCCTCCATTAGATATTTTCTATGTCCGTCACGTCTCTTCTAAGTTCTTTTACCTATTTTTTTTTGAAATGATAAAGTTTTTTGACTTTTTTTTTTTGTTTCCATCAGTGTCCTTCGTTGACTGGTTTAGTCGTAAGGACATGATTATAGGTAGTAAATAAGAGTAAACATAAGAGATTTTTAATATTATAAAATTTTTATATTTATCCAAATTATTTTTGGGTTTCTAAATATAGAAGCTATATTACCCATATTTAGTGGGTAAATATAACA